GGAGCACTATGAACCCGAACAAGTGGTGGACTCTTACAAGCTTCCATTTTTTGCGCATGCTGCGTACAAGACATGAACTTCACTCAGAATTCATCACAATAGCACTGGGGATCCACACAGAACCCTGCAACTGCGCATGTTACAGAACTACCTGAAGATCTCCACAGCCAGTCGTTTGAAATGATGGATGCAAACGTCTCAACCCCTTTCACGTGTGGTTCCTGATGTCAGCACCCCACGTACCCCTTCTTTACTGAAAACTCGCACGTACGGGCCCCTACAGGCCCTGGGACCTGCGTAAGCATTTCCAATTCAATCCTATGCGGCCTTGCTAGATACATACATAGGGATAGCTTTAACAAACTCCTAGATGACGGCCGGGCTCCAGGCTCAGCAACTGCTTTTCCATCTGCCTCCGCAATGCCAGCGCTTTCCTGGCAGTGAGTCAGAAGAATGGTTCCCCTTACTGTGATAAATCAAACGTAATCGCAGAAGTAATCCTCCTGGTGGTCCTGATGACAATCAACACGAGCAGAAGCGACTTTGTAATCGGTAATCGCACGGTGGTGATAACTATAGTGACTATAGTGCCCACGAGCATGGCGGTCGCGTTCTCTCACACTAGGGTCTACATCCACTCCGAAACCCTGGACACTGAGCTGTAAGCCGCAAAACCCGCGCCCAAAGCCCTTTTTTCCAAGCCTTGAGCACTAAAGCCAAACTCCCGAGCCCGAAGCCCTCAACCCTTAACCCCTAGCCCTGCACCAAGCCCACGACCCCTTGAAGTCCCACATCCTCTTAGCCCTATAGACCCTCAACCCCAACCCCGAAACAGTAAGCCCTTAGAACCCTAAACCCAACTTACCTGGCCCATAGTCTAAACCCCTAGTATCCCCCCTGATCGTCCCCACAGTAGTCCCCTGTATAATCCCTTTTTACAAGGAGTTTAGCCCTAAACCCAAATCCCCTATATAACACCCCTAGGTGTTCAGACTATAGCTCACCTGGCCCCAGTTTGCGACGTTCTGGGACCAGGTCCGGAATGCTTTCAGGTGATCCAGCCAGGCCTGGTCAAGGTTCATTTAGGGTTTAGGGTTCGCAGGTTTTAGGGTTATCAAAGGGCTCAAAAGGTGAGATGAAGGAAGGTGGGGTATAGGAAATACGCCCCAATATAGTAGAGCATATACGAAGGGTCCCTTAACCCACCTACCTTCATCTCACCTTTGAGCCCCCTGAGTTTGGGAACCCTGAGGGACAAAAGTATATCCGGGAAGTAATGCACGGTCGAAATGGGAAATTTAGATTATGGAAACTACTAAATCATCTAGGGTTTAGGGTTGCAAGTAATTTTCAATCATGGATAATAATGGAGCACGAAATGGACAAGAACATGGGAGATGAAACGCAAACTGGGTTTGCATAGGAGACTATAGGAGTTGAAAGGGATTGCATGTAGAAATGGGCAGGTTGTCAGCAAGAGTGTTGTCCCTTTTTGGCCCCCTATGGGGCTCTCTATGTTGGGGGTGACTGTGAGAAACTCCTGCTGGGGGGGTCAGGCCTTCAGGGCTCGCACGGCCGAAGCAGAGGGTTGCTTTTGATGTCTAACAGATGCAAGAACCCGGATGTTTCGGAAGTACCTTGACGCCACAGCATGCTGAGCCAGAGCAACAAAACATAAGCACTCAAGAGCAGACAGACAGTGTACGTAACAGGTCACAAGTTCACCGAAAGCCAGAAGCAGCATTGAATGTAGTACTGTTAAAGGAAGGAAAACATCGTACTTGAATTCAAGTGCCCTTTGCTTCGCTTCGCCTTTCCTGCCCCAGGTTTGGAGTTCAGAGTTTGTAGTGCTTGGAGCTCGGGTTCACGGTTCACACATCGGGGGTAGAGAGCTTATTGGTCCCGTTGTGGGGATTAGAGTCAGGTTTTCCGGTGAGTGTGGGGTGCTCACGGCCTAGACAGTTTATGGGGTTTGTGGTCTGTGGCGATGGTTTTCGGGATTGTAGTAAAGGATTCTCGAAACAATAGACCCTATGTAACCTACAATGAGATTTCATTGGCTTGTGGACAGAAGGGGGGTCTTGTGCTGACGAATAGCCCACTCAAGATGCAGGCCATGGTGTTCCATTGAATTTAGAGTTTAGGGTTGGGGCTTGAGGGTGCAGGACAACATCCAAAGGGATGCAAGGCATCCATCAGCTCACCGGCCCTAGCGGAAAGCTCCACGTGAACAGCTGAACAGCTGGCTTCCGAGGCAACGCAGCAGCTGCAGTGTAGGATCCCAAGCTATTTCAACTTGGGATGCCTCTTTTTCGCGGCATGAGTTTCGCCTTGAATCCGCAAAGTCCCAGGAAGACTTCTAGAAACTTCAATCCAACATCCTGAGCTCCCAAGCGGCTTCCCTCTTCGCAATGCCTGCATGCCTGGCCTATAGTACTTCAACCCTCCCCTTTGACCCCAGCCCCGGTATCTTGTTCCACTCCCAAGCCCCCGTACTATAGGGGCCGAAGTATTAACCGATTTCTACCAACAATGGAGACAGAAATGGAAAAGAACATGGAAATGAAACGGAGCCTGGGTTTATACAGAGGCGTTGTAGGGATCACTTCTTAAGTATGTTCTGGCTCTAGATTCTAGATTTTTTATACAGCACGGTATTAGTACACACACAAAATATATGCAATTCAAACAAACATCAAACGATATTTAATTGGTGACTATGCATCCACTATACATAGGTCCTAAGTATCGACAACTGGCTTTGGCAAATTGGCCTCCACGTTCGCCATGCCCTCCTTTCCAGGAGAAAATGCGCGGACGATCTCCAACCTTGAGTGATGTTTAAAGTTGTAACTTGGGGCACACACGAAAATGAGTCCATGTCCCAAGGACAAGATTTTCTTATATACTTTCATGAAGCGCCGCAAAAGGTATAAAGAGCGGGATTCATCAGACCCCGCAGCAGAAACAATCAGTAGTGCGGAAGATCCCCGACAGATTTGCCATGAATTGTACAACCCCTCGTTCTCCTTCATTCCATGTGATGAACTCAGCACTGGGCAACAGTCCAGCAGGACAAGAAATGTCTACGTTTGTTTCACATACTGGATGCTGCCTCACTAAGAAAGACCCCACCCATAGCACCTGACAAGGAGCAGAAATTCATCAAGGGTCAGATGCGCAAGTGTGATCTACTGTTGTCTGTTTGGTGGCCGCAAGATTTTCGACACAAGTCTGAATACTGAAGAAAGGACTCTCTAGACATTGAAGCTTGAAACCCTTGTAAACCCACTCCTGAAATCGCCCGAGGCGCCCGTTCACGATGCCCACACCATGGACTCCAAGCGTGTAGTCGCATCCCAGGAGCATGGCCAGTACCACGAGATGGTCTTGCCTGCTGAGGAAAGGAATATCAAAACGTACATAGTCGGGTTGGCTGCGGCGTGAAGGAAAGTATTGATGGGGATCCGCACAATCATTCCATGCTTGTTGAGGTAGTTCCCTCAATACGACGAGGAGAAAGGTTTGGCCTATTTGGGATATGTGGGGGCACAATGGTTGCGAGGGTTTAGATGGTCTGGACGAAGGTATTTTCCGAAAGAGGAGTACCATGTGCAAAGCACCAGGATACATGTGTCTACACTTTTCAAGCTTCAGGGTTCAGGAGTTCAGTCGAGGATTTAGCTTACGGAACTTCACGAGGAAGTTGTCAAAGCCAATTCCCCTATACATGAAGATTCTGAGCGCACACCGCCCAACTTAAGCCTGTTCAAAATGACATTCATCACTCTTTTCACTTTGGACTGAGGATCTAATTGTTGCCTGGGCATTGCTGCTGGGATCCCGACTTGAGCAGGATGTGCAGTCATGATTGGCTTAGGAGAGCTGCCACCCTGGAGTTCAAAATGAGCCACAATTACTCAAAGCTTCTTACGTAGAGATGCCTATCGGGATCCTGCGAAGTCATACTAGGCAGTTCATAAACATTTCCCCCCATGAGGTGTCTAGTCACCAGTCACCAGTCTAGTCCAGAACCTCTCTCGCATAGTCTGCGTGAAGCGCTATTGCTGCTTCGGCGCAGCAGCCCCAGACGGGATTCCAAACGCGTAGCGCTATAGCACTCGACAAGGTGGTCCTGCAAGAGCGATAAACTGGGCTTCTGAGGGGATCTAAAGCTACCAGAATAAGGAAACCCTGACATTTGCCGTAGATCCACGTTATGGCAGTTTCATTCATATCCCTGAACAGCCACCCAGTAGGATCTTGGCTGCCAAGAATCTTGGTTAGTGTCTACCAAACTGCTGGACTCTCTGTCCCGGCAATCCTCAAAACTACTGTGGCTCCACATGGTTGATCCAGTAGTAAAAGACACCGTGCACTCCAACATCTTGACCCGGAATCTTGTTCGTCACATTTCGCCAAAGAGTTCTCGTGGCGCTTCTTCTCTCCAGCACCATGAACAGTAACCAAAACCACCGCCTTTAACTCTTTGAAGACTTCACTGCCAGCACCTATGCCACACCCACCCCTATACTGCCGACGTTTCCAATGTGTAAGAGTTTGCGCCAGGTAGCATGCTCAGAACATGCATGAAGGTTTCGGGGCCCTGCGCCCATGACCATCGCATCTTGGATGATAGCTAGACATGCAAAAACGGTTGGACCTGCAGCTGACTCAAGTTGTTTTCCTGCCGCAGGCGTTGGCCCTGGCTTGTGCCACAGAGCTCACCACATCCCTGAGAAGAATAAAGCATGTGTATTGGTACATCACAGTCTGCATGGCAAGTGCTTGTGTGCAGGCTTTTTTGGTAGCAAGCCCTGCCACGCAGCCTGTGACCCCACGCGAGTCTAAAAGATTAGCATGCCCTGTCGTCCCGAAACTTGGTTTGCAAGGAGACCTTGTCCGCCTCGAGCTCAACAGCTCATGCGAACCACAGAAGATGTCAGTATAGATCCTCGTCAGAAGCTTATCTTTGTGAATTGGTCAGTCTACTCTGGGGCTCACATCATGAATCTGCGAAGGACCCACTGAGGGATTGGTCCCCCAGGCGCGATCACATCACTGCAGTAATCATCGTCACCTCGGAAAATTGGCACGTCTCCTCAGCAATCTCCCTGCTTTCTTGATTTGTTTACTGTCTGGCCCCCTCATTTTGAAAGGAAAACTTGCAAAACATACATACCTCTCCGGCCGAGTGTCCAGAACTTTTTGTACCTCCAAGTGCCTTTGGCACAGTCTCATGGGGAATGTACTTCAGGATCGTTTGCTCTGTCTCATCCCCCCTGACGATCTGGACTTTGTCCTCGGCTCAAACAGGCTTCAAGGCAGTCAGATCCCAAGTCCCCAAACCTAATAATCCCCTCCCCCTAACACCAAAAGCCCCCAGCCCCCTGATACTAAATCTTCCCCATATACTGTAACATACCATAGGAAGACTATTTTTTCAATATTTAGTATTAGGGGGTGTGGTTTTAATATTGAGGGGAGGGGATTACATGGGACCAAGCAATTACTAATATCATGTTGAGTTCTTTTTGAGGTACACAAACGCCACGTGCCTGAAAGGTCTCTAGAGCCATGAATGATAGTGGTAGGCCGTATAGTATGCCTATCCCCCAGAAGTATGATGAGGCGACCGCCCATTCCAAGCCCCTTCATGTGCGCTATAGGTAAGACCTATACCTAGTCCCCTGTTCGTAGATAGAATATGGGATCTTATTATAATACACCCAAAGCCATATTCTATCTACTTAAGGGGACTATAGGTCTGGGTTGTTCCCCTGATAATGAGAAGTTTTACGGTCATAGTTAAGTCCCTGTCTAAAATTGCGCACAGCCCACTTTAAAGCAGTCGAGGGTCCGCTGTGCCCTTGTCGAGGAAGGTGCGCACAATTCGCCAGACGGCAGGGAAGACCCATGGAGCGCGTACCGCAATGATCCTCTTGAGGATCTCCGGGTATCTATCCTTGCTTGACATGGCTTCGTCTTATAAGTGGGTCCCTCAAGAAGTCCCCAAGAGATGGAAGCCCTGACCACGAATTAGGAAACCGCAGACATGGATACCTCCAAATCCTGAGCCCCTTCCGCGGATTCCTTACGTCGAGGATCCTGGTCTCAGCGTGCCCTTATCAAAGAAAAAGGAGGCGAATCCCGTTTCTATTCCTAATCGCTTGTGCCAACGGCAAATGTGATGAGGCACGTAAAAGGCTCACCGAAGCAACCGAACGGAGAAACATTTGCCGCACGAAGGCGGAGACTGTCATTTACAGGGGGAAGAGGCTCTGTTGCGAAACTCTTCATATCCCTCTACACACATACCTGCCTACCTACGTGCCCACATACCACATACCTACAAGCTACATACCTTCACGCACATGCCACACGCAAACACCTACCTGCACATCTACATAATATCTACGGACCTAGCGCGACATACACAGGAAACCCGCAACCCTATCTACCCCTAGAATCCCTAAGTTCTTTGTAAAGGTACCCCTAATTGATTTTGGGAAACTGCCACATACACAGGCCCAACGTACATCTGAGCCTCCGCCTGAATGCGGGTGACGAGCTTGAAGAGCGCTAGGCCCCGCCGATCCAGGTGACTTAGGTTTAGACCAGCGAGGTCTAAGACTAAGGTGAAGTGAAAGCCTTGGGATGTTGAAGAGGATGTACAGGGCTTTTTAGGGCTGAGGGTTCAGGGTTTAGTTTCGGACCTCTTTGGGGGATGATCTGGCGTCAGGTTGTTGGTGGCGATGGCCGTCTGAGGTTCAAACCCTTCTAGCAGGACTACGGTCCACAGTCTTTATGTGCTGCGGCCCTAGACCGAAAAACTAAACTATGCTTTTAGAGTCATCGGGATGTCTCTCGGGATCCTTCCTGCGTGGCTGCAGGGCCGCGCGCATTGGCAGCCGAATGCAAGAGCACGTAACGGGGTGCCAAGGCGAAAGCTTGCAAGTGCAGCATGTCATGAGAAAACCTTGAGATGAATAGGTTTCCTAGATCCTTAAAGTTCTCACGTGACGAGTGGCGTTGATGCATGGTCATATGTTAGTTGGAATGCCATGGGGCTGAGCTTGCCCTATGGCATTTCAAAGGGCCCTTACATAACTTGCCCTTCCCAAGCATGCAGTAGTAGGCTCCTAAGGTCCTAAGCAGCAATATTGAGATACCCATTCATGGCGTGTTGCACAGGCTTCGTATGGGAATTGGTTCGACAGTCCTCGCCAGATGTCTTTTTGCGGAACCCCCACCTCTAGGCAACAGAAAGGCCCTATGCACACTATGATACCAAGGCGCTGCATTTTGAAGAAGAAGCTACCCAGCTAGCTTCAACAAGTACAACCCAGCTCTTTATGAAGGAGTTCCAACACAAGAATATGTTTTTGACTTCTAATGTTAAAAAAGCAGCCTTCCGCTGCTGAACACCAGAGATGATTCCGAAGGCACTCACAGATCCTAATGCAAGTGACATCATTGTCATGATGAACCCTATGGATCAGTAGTGGGGCCCGAAAACAAACGAGGGGCCATCATGCTTGCCTTCTTTGCGCCGTTGCTGCCGTAGGCATTCCTAAGTCGCTGGACGCACCATCATGTTAATGAGTGTCCTTCTGATTCTGCTCTTCTACCTGAAGGATCCCGCAGGTTCACTCAGCAAGTGAAATCGCGATTCGTTTTGTTGTGACGAAGAACACCATCATGACGCCCTCATGAGCAGCAGCAGCAGCAGCAGCAGCAGCAGCGTGCACGCATGTGTGCAACTTTGCTTGTGCGAAGCTTTCCACCGTGAAGTACTTCCGCATGAATATCAAAGTCGAAGACTCATGAGGACATGCCAGGCATAATTGAAAGTAGGGTCACTCGTTTGGTTCGCGTCACTTGTAGTCTGAATCGTACCACGGCTAGTTGTAACAATTTTGAGAACGCAGTCGTCCAAAGCTTGCAAGAAAGAACAGCTAAGGCTCCAGGTAAGCCATCAGACACCTCGGCAGGGTGCAACGGGCTGCTTCAAAAACAACATGGAGGAGGCCTAGTCGGTGGAGACAGGAAAACTGCCTAAGCAACCACAGTAGGAATGCAATGTAATATAAATCACAGATCGAAGATAAGAATGTCTCTTAGGCAGGCATCAGCAATGACATTCTTCATCGCTCTCCTTGTCATCATCTCCTCTTCAGTAGTACTTTATCTGGCGCTTGATGCCGAGTTACTAGTTGCTTCTAGAAACTTAAAAAACTAGGCTGCCATAACAGTACACTGAGTACTTAATGCGGGTCGCAGCATTTAAAAAAAAAAAAGTTTCTCAACAGCAACCCAGATTATCGCGGGGATCCTCTTTCTGCAGCTACGATGGTTTTTTGAGCACCTCGTCACAGCTTGCGTGGTCTTTCTGCAGCCGAAGCACTCCGAAGAATAGATGGTGTGTCTGGCAACATACTCATCAGAGGTTTGGGTCAATGTTGGCACGTGGCTGGCTCCAACCCTCTCCTGAGGATGTGAATGCCCAAACACACAAGGCAACTATCGCGGAAGTCATCGACTTGGCAGGCACGTGCTGGCTCTGCCTGCTTTTTGAAATCGAGGCTCCCAGATCACCGGGTCGCCATCGAAATCGAAGCCTGGGTTGAAGCTTTGCTTGATGAAGCATAGTCACTTCCAAGGAGCAGCCCTGATCAGCTTGGCGCTTCACCCATGACACCCTGGCACTTCCAGTAACGGTCTGCCGCCTCGAAGGGAACCTCAGAGCCGCTCTTCTTACCAGAAGAAAGTGCGTGCATCAAGCAAAAAAGCCCAACCCTGGCGAATCCCTCTCGCCATCCTCTCAACTTACACTTCAAACATCCCTCCCGCAAGCAGTGGGTCAGGCGCCTTGTCCCATCGAGGCAGAACATCTGCAGCACTATTCTGTGAACGCCACTCAATCGTCGACTGTATCATGTCCTGCGAGTACACCATGGCAATTCAACCGCAGTGCAACTGTGTCCCCACATGGCTACAATGCCAGCTAACAGGTCATGCCAAAACCCTCTGTCCAACGCTTGCTGGACGTTGCAGTTTCTTGCGAGCAAGAACCTCGCGCAGGCGAACAGCTGAGGCTTCTGCTCCCGTCGAAATGTAAAATTTAACCGGCAAGTAGACACAAAATGCGCAGGATAGCGACTAACATTCTGGTATAGCCCAGCCATGGCGGATCACTGAGTAGCCATATGTGGTCCTAGAGATCTCCAGCCTTACAGGGCCGCATTTTACACTCGAAAGTCGAAAGTGCGCAGGTCCTTGCTACCAAAACCCTGAAATGGACTCATCATACATTGTTGAGGAACACTACCCGTGCCTCAAAAGGACGCGAGGGTCTCGCGGCTGAACCCACCCGGAGGCCGGAAGGTCCTGCAGATCTTTGATTCGGCTTCCTGTAGGGTTATTGCCACTTGCATCACCATTCAGCAGCGTAAGGTCTCTCTCTCTCTCTCTGGGTTTTCAGGCACACCGCTCACCTCCGTCAGCTACTGCTGGCTTTAGGTTCTCGGGTTTGGAGAGAGGGCGCTTTCGAATAGGTTTTCTCCTCAGGGATTCCGCATATACATCCTCACAGATCCCGATGGGTAGCTTCAAAAACTAAAGTCCCATGTCTACGCCCCCTGACAGTCACATATTCGGTGCCGTCTCATAAGTGACACACTCCAAACCCCTAAACCCTAAACCCTAAATATTAGTTTCCATCTTCTTTTCCATTGTCCCAATATTACCCCAATATATATATATATATAACCCTAAACCCATAACCTGGAGAACAAGCTAAAAATCCCATTCCAGAGCAGCCTGCCTCTGCGAGGTGCCGGAGTTCTAGCCTGACTTGAGTTTCCAACGCCTTTCTGGCTGCTAGTAGGGGAAAATGGACGCTCATATGAGCCATAGTCTAAACTTCTTAAAGGGGTTAGATAGGGGAGTATCATAGGGGTTATTAAGGGGGATACTAGGAGTTTCGACTATAGCTCATACGTTATCTGGGATCTTATAACGGCTACTGTACGGATTCCAGAAATCACGGGCCCCTTTCCGGAGGTTTTTTGAGAGTGGTCACCTTTTGTGGCATACAAGCAGGAAGGGGCCGTACGGAATAAGTCACTTTGGTTGTACATAAATGTATGCTTATATCTCAAACGATCAATCACGCCGAGGTTCCTCAGTCTGGTTGCTACATGCGATCCCTCAAGTAGGACCGCAGGTTTGGGGGGCTGGAATGGAGTGATGGGCGGAGGGGGAGTTGACATCTGTCGGCATTGTTCGTTCTTCAGCTCTAAAGGTTATGGCACGGAGTACTCACAATTGATTGGCCATCGGCAGCATCTCAGCTGCCAACTTCGCACCAAGTTCTAAAGAGGGAAGTGTCTCTGATCAATGAGGACCGGCGTTTCACAGCGCCTCAATTCTCATCTTGCATACCCTCAAGACCTCCTAAGCCTTAAAGGCTGCTTGGCTGTTGGTCAGCTGCATGCTGAGTACGCGGCAAGGCCCGCCGAGTCGAGGTGGTGGGTGCCCCGCGCAGCACTGAGCGCAGCAAGGCATCCAGGTCCTGCTACGCAACCGAACAAGGTTCAGAGAAATTTTAATGTTTAGGAATACGACGCCCGCTAGTGAAGAATCAAATGGACCAGAAAACAGAACAATGCCGTGGCAACTGGGTTCCATCATGCCGACATAATGTGTTTTCTACATTCTAGAACACGCTCTCGCACTCCGTCCTCGTTGACCGGCGCAAAACTTGTACCTACGTCGGGGAGGCTCAGGCAAGTGGACTTATGTACCGGAAGATTGTGAACAATATCTGAGATCTAAAGGTCTGGCAACGTGGTCCAACACGGCTGGAACCCCATTGAACTTTGAGAGCACTGTTGCATTTCGAGAAGGTTTGTTGCGGGGCTGCGGCGTGCACCCGAAGAAGTCCCATGCCGTTCTAGCCTGTAAAGAACTGCTCATGCACCTCATCATCATCCTCAAGTTGCCCGCGCATCTTCTCAAGGCCGCTTAGAAGCACAACCTCCTTCAGAAGCTGAGGCCATGAAGCCGCCAAGATGCTGTACAGCTTGGAGCGTGGAAGCCCATACTTCAACTCGATTACACCTTCCATGCAGCTTGCTGTGCTTGTGCTCACTCGCATCCAGACTGCAGGCACGGCATCATGCTGGAAGTCTGCAGTAAGAGAATCAGTTACAGAGCTGAAATGCATCGTTGGAATGCAGCCTATTTCAGGGCCTGGGTGCAGTCAGGAGTTCATTCAAATTGCCATCCGTTCATCTTGACTCCTCTGATTACAAAAGACCTGTTTCTGTTGAGAACTATGTTTACTTTTGACATGTAGCCAGTTGGAGTTCGAGCTTTGGGGCTCTCAGGTCATGGAGAGAACTGAAGATCATCTGGGAAGTGCTCCCAAAGGGGTTGGCCATTTAGGGGCCCCAAGGCCCGAAGAACATATAGAGGTCGTATCTCAAGATTCTGGGGATCTCCTCGCTGTGGCAGGCTGAAGCTTTGAAGCGAGAGCTCCAGCTAGATCACGATTAGGACTTCTACTGCTTTGAATGCACATTTCTATGTTGCATTGTTGCATTGCATTCTAAAGAAGTAGGTGCTTTCCAACTCTGGCCCAAAACAAAAACTCTAAATCTCTTCAAAGCAGACACAAGTTTGCCTCACTAGGTAACTTTGTGAGTCCTTTCTGCTGCGACTCGCCAGTTCAGATAGGCTCAACCGTTGTTGGCTGACCGCTGGCCCCTGCAACAAATCTGGCGGCCTCCTTCAGTTCCGTCACTCTCCACGGCCGGCTCCTCCGGCCGACCACCTCTCAAACGAAGGCTATTCAAAAGATATGGGTCCCTTCGGTATTCACTGTCACTGTAAGATACTCCGGGCCCTCGGCGTTCTAGATTCTTTCATTGTGCATGTTGCCTGGAGGTTGCTAACGCGAAGTATTTGCTCCATCCACATTCTCAACCAGCTCCTACTTCTCCTACATTCTTTCTATGAGTACTGCTGCTCCCACCACCACCACGAAGCACTAGGACTACTATGAGGACGTCAACAGCTACTGCTTCTTCCACTGCTGCTACCCTGATGTGCACGATAACTATCCAGTTTTCGGGGTTCTCTCTATTATAACCCCATGTTCTAACAATCGTAAGGAGCTGTGGTGCAGTTCTCAGCATGGTGTATCTCTGCAGCAGAGCGGCAGGTGCAGCAGCTGAAAAAGCCTAGCCAGTCCTGGCGACCAGGCTCAAAACCTATGAGTTGGGCATTGCCCACCCAGTAACATATATCTTAATAACTCTCCATCTGTAACTGGCAGCTGGGTTTGTTGTTGGGGAGCATGGTTAAAGGGCACATGGCTTAGCACGCCCTTGCTTACCCAAATTGCATCCAGGCTCAATAGACATCATCCTTTGCCAAGGAGACTAGCTCTTTGGGTAAATCAAGTCTTCAGCGGCTGAAGCGAGATCAGCTCGTTGCAGCGATATGCAAAGATCGAAAAGCAAATGAAACCTGGATCTCTAGGAGGATGACCCTAAACCCTAAACCCAAAACCCAATCAATAACTCAGGTGGGAATGTCTCCAACCCGAGGGCTCGTACTGGCGGAGCGCTATAGCAAGGAGTCTGCCAGTGGCTGCAGGAATGGGGCAATGCCTTCTTGCCAAAGAGGCCTAGACTTAGACGTCCAGAGATGGTGGGAGCTGAGAGTGGGTGTTGGGAGTGTCCTGCATACTCGCAAGAGACTACAAGCCTGAGATTTGCATTCTCGGAACGATGAAGTGGATTATGTTCTCGCCCTCTTTGCCCCCATGTTGCTACATAAAGACTTGCTTTTTGGGAGGGAGTCAAGGGGACTTGGGAAGTATACTTGCAACTTGCAACACCCATCATAAGCCGGTTGTCTTACCCTCGGCTGTCCCCATTACTAACCTGTTTCGGGGAGTCCCTATATTCAGGATTGTAAATCGTTGACGTCTATCTTGGGGGTCCCTATTCACAGGAACTGCACTCGCAGAGTTCCCCTGCATTCTGTCCTCAGACTCTGTGCTCGGATTGACACGGGCTGCAGGACCCCGAGGCGCCGCCTTCAGAACATGTTGCTGTTCAGGAAGATTTAGGGTTTCAGGTTTCGGGTTTAGGGTAACTTTAGGGTTTGGGAATTTAAATTACATCCCCAAAATGGAAACCACTAAATTATGCAAGGGTTTGGGTCCTGGTAAGTACCAATGATGGAGAATCAAAGAACATGGAAAATAAATGCAAAAATGCTTGCGTAGGGGCCTTTAAAATAAGTTACCACAAGTGAAGAATCGAAAGGAAAAATTAGAAATGAAAATTGGGTTTATATGGGGCTCTAAATTAAGTTACCAGAATATGGATACATGGGAGTTTCCAAATATGGCGGGCCTACGTAGTGACCCAAATATACTGGAATCCTAATGATGCGGGCTTTCAATTCCGGATCTTCAATGTTTTGAAACCCCCAAGGACTGGCTGCGCCCTGGATCCTGTTTGGTAGGGAATGGCGGAATGTGCTGTAAGGGGACGACACATATACACGAATAGGCACTAAAGACCTGCATCGGGCTTGAAGATCACGAGACTTGTTTCTATCTCTTATTCTGCTGCTCAGGGGCTATTCCGCCACCATTGGCATTGGCATCGAAGTCTTGAGCCTTCTTCTGGCTCCTGAGGCAAAAGCAGGGGGAGATCCGTTCATTTGATATCCCCTGGGCTCAATGATGTTTCTGCAGTGATAGCAACATTCCTTGCAAAATTCAGGCGCGCCATGATGAAAGCCCACACGAAAGCATTATCAGTGGCTGATGACGTGGATCTTCCTCAAAACTGGGCTTCGCTGATATATCCCGCTGAAAAGCAGGCCCCTCGCAACAAGGGCCGCGTGCCTGACAGCAACTACCATGCAGAAAATGTAGGGTCACAACAACCTCATTCCTTGTGATGCGACGTTGCGATGTGAGAATATCCCAAAACCTCAACAGTTTTCACAGCAGGTCCTGGAGCTAGACCCCAGGTGCCCAAAGAGGATCTGCGCCAGTTGCCATACTCCCCAAAGGAGCAGAAGCGGCACAAGGTAACCAAACACTGTTGTCCTCAGCTAGGCATCCAAAAATCTTTGCATCCATCCAGCACTGGCTCAGGAGTGCAATCGTCATGCCGATCACTGACAGGCATTGGTGTTTCCACGAATTGCGCCCCCCCACATCTCCCAAGAAAAGAGTCCTTGGCACAATAGAGATCCCGAAAAAGGGATTCCCGGTTTCCGCAATTATGATTTGTTGGTTAGGCCCCTCCGGACAAGGTGCACAGCAGTCTCATACTGAGAAGCCATGGCGTCAGCAATGGGGGATGTGATGTCGGCCCGTGCAAAAGTACAAATATCCTTTAAAGACCTGAGGCTGCAAAGCTGTCCAGGTGGCGGTGTTGTATCTCTAGAGTCTAAATGTCCACTTTGCCTTGAACAGAGTTGGTGTTCAGTGTCTGCCGCATACGGGCTGGATGTCATGCTTCTGCATTAGACACAAGCGGATCATGGCTTCCTGCTGTTGATTGGCCTGCAATAACGGTACAAATCTAGAATGGTGGAGCGCCTCCGACCACAATCCGGGATGAGACTGCTCACGCCTTCTTACTGCCTAAGGGTTTGCCTGAGACTGCTAATGGCCACGGGAGCTCGCTTGAGTCCACTGCACTTTGCTGTGCTATTTGAGGCGTGTGGGGGGCTGTGAGGCCACTCGCATCCGGTCCTCGGAGAACAGCCGCCTGTACACTTCGCCTCGAAGGCAGCAAGCTGGGATGACACCTAATCTTATCTCAGTAGCAACTATGAGGAACGAGTGCCTACTGGTATAGGCTGGTGATGACATGACTCTTGTCCTACATAGGAAGCAAGTGGCTGGTTTTGCCCCCGCAGCATGTTATATGACCTGGAAGAATGCGAAGGATGTGCGGAAAACACGGTGTTTCCCGCCCTCTCGAGAAGGTACCAACAAGCCATGTGCAAAACTTTCCGCAGCTGCGCTACTAGCAGGATACCAAGCAGCAATGGCAACAGGAAAATGCCCTAGCATCTTCCTCCTCAGGATAAGCTGCTAGGTCTTCCTGCGTCCCTTTTGCCTTGCCTGGCCTGAAGATGCCGTGCTCATGGTCATCCTACGTGGTACTCGATGTGCCACCACAATGCTTCTGTTGATGTATTAGCTGATTAGCAGACAAGTGCTTGTGGATGAGCATGGCAAAATGGTTATGCAGGCAGCCGAAACCTCTTCTTGTAACTTTCATTGCCAACTACCGCCTCCACCCTTATTGCCAATGAGCCCCGGCTCCAGCTTTTGCAGAGAAGCTACGGGCTCCAAAGACCAAGACGTCCGAGTCGTCGGAGGCTACTGCATCCACAAGACGAGCCTGGCTACTTCGCCTGCATTCCTTCTAAGCCCCTGCCCAAACAAGTTAGTAGTATGTATGTAGTTTCCCATGACATGGCAAACTTGAAAATGCTTAGGAGTCTCCAGGTCATATCTCCCAGGCTGCGCGCTGTGTTTGAGTTTGGAACTTGTGGCTGGGGTTTGGCTGGGAATGGAAGGGGGTGTGCAGGCTTGAAAGAAGAATTCGAAAAAAATGGGGTCCTTTTCATTGAGGGGCCGCCAGAAATCCATCCTGCGTTGAGCAAGCTGTTCAGGATCTGGGCAATTGTGCGCGATAATGTGGCCACATCCAGAGGGCGGAATCAAAGCTGAGCAGACTTGCTCTGCGTACTGCATACAATCCGTCTCTGTGCCATTGGGCGAAGCTAGCGATGCAAATGCTTGTGTGGTCCAACACATGGGATCTTGTCTGCGAATGCAACAGGACCTTAAACCAAAGTACAGTCAACCCATAGTCCCTTGGTAGCTACAATAGTCCCCAGAAGCCTACCGGCCTATACATGATAGAAACTTCTACGGCCCGCATGAAGGGAACCGTTTTATGTGAGCTTCCCTAAAAGTATTCCAGAAGATAGTGGGAACCTCCCTTTGTGATTCCAAAATGTCCTTAAGGTCCCCAAGGTTACACGTTTTTTCAAAATGACCCGCAATCCGATTCCCGATTGGTTTACTTAACTCCATTTCCTCCTTGGGCTTTTGTAGGACCACTAAGAACGAATCCTAGATTCAGCCTAAACCCGCAAAACCCCTAAACCCTAAACCCCTAAACCCCCTAAACCTAAACCCCTAAACCCTAAACTACGGATTGATGACGAGCCTGAGCCAAAAAGGCACACTGAGCCTCAGCCTGGCGCGACATGACAGCTCGGCAGGCACACTTCGGAGCACTATAAAACAATAGTAATAGTAACAATAAGAAGAAAATAATAGTTATACTACTGAAAAGTCAGAATAAGGATGATAAATTAAATAGTAGTCATAGTCATAAAATGTTATCTACTATCAACACTAGTAATAAAGGGGGATCACAGGATATTCGTTATTCGTTGCCTCACAGAACGTTTCGGGATCACAGTCTGCCATAGTCTTTAGGGCCTTGGGGTGGGTTCGAAGTTGAATCAGTCTTTTGGAGCTTGATATCAAGTATCACGGAATTGTAGTAGCCCCTTACGACGAGGACAAGAAAGGCTCATTCTACCGGTGCATGACGCCGTTCCATTTGAGGCTCTCAATGGATCGAACGCTGGCCATCACCTAGGTTTTGGGTTCGCTGGCGCCGGCACAAACTGCAACCCAGCCCAAACAGGATCGGCAGGCAGTTCCATGCTTTGGATGTCAGAGTTTCAATGAAGGGGTGTTGCATATAACCTCGCTTCCATTTCACTATCTGTTTTTCCATTTTTTGTCCGTTATTCCTTCTGCAGACACTGAGGCGGCTCAAAAAAGCGTGGAGCGGCCTCTGCCGGCGCATGCACGTAAGGAATTCCAAGAGCTTCTAGCAATGCCTCCACGTCAGCCTGGTCGAAGGCTCAGCACTTGGCGCTGGTTGCACTGGAAGCCGAGAGCAATTTTAGTAGCTCCATAACTACTGGGGGCCCAAGAAAGTCTCTGTTAGTACATGGCCTGCTTCGGGAATCCCCACTTTGGTGATGCATGTCACGGCCAATGCTATGCCTGCATTTCCGGCGTCACAATATCTGCACCTCGCTTGGCTCGCCGCGCCTCGCAGTTGCTGGCTATGTGGACGATTTGAGGCTTAGGCATACCCTAAACCCTGAACCCTAAACCCTAAACCCCAAACCTAGGGGTACGTTTTCAGAGGGTTATAAGGGTTGTTTAGGGATATATGGTTTAGGCATGCACATCGCACACAAGCAGGCACGGTTCGTTCGAGGATCCCTGCCAAGCGGAGCCAAGGGCACCAACAACTGATTTGGGGAGGGGTTTAGGGAAGGTAGGGGATTCCTGGACACCAAAAGTAGGTGAAATAACGGTCCAAAACCCTGCAAAAACAGCCACGAAGGCCATTACTTTGCATACTTTTGGGGTTCAGGTAGGGCTAAGATGTTCTCAAAGCGAAGGGTTGGTCGGTAAGCTGGGGCACATGTCGATGGGATATAATTGCAATTACAGATTCTATACTGTAACCCTATGGCTCCCAGTTACCTAGATAGTAGGTTACTAGGCTATGTAACGACAAGGTATATAGAACCCAGTTCCCATTCTTTAGGTAACTGGAGCCCTAGGGTAAGGGTGGTTTTGAGACACTCCGTTTCCATCTCGGGATTTTTTGAGGCGCGGGCTGTGTTCCAAGGCCGGCCACGATGAATAAACAATCGACTTGTGAATTGGTTTCATATGACGCCTGTATTACCCCTATACTACCCCTATAGTGCCCCTATACTGCCCCTAAGTACCACCATATCACCCCTATATTATACTGTGACATGGCAGCCTCGGATAGAGCAAGGGATGCTGCAGAGACTGTGCCCAGTACGGTAGCACATTGCAGGACACTCTGTATTTGCCACTGTCACCCAAACTTCTGTCCATTTTTTCTTTACTACAATATACTATATGATACTAGAATGTACTATATTACTTCATGATATATTGAAGTATATTACAATATAATATATTATATGGGCTTTCGGAGGGGCATGTCAAGAAACATGCCTCTGCACGTAATTCACGATGCTCATCTTCAAGCTCCGCAGCCAAGCGCTGAAACTCCAGTTCCTGCAGCTGATTGCATGAATGCAAAACTAACTTATGCTTTACTGGGTATCCCATATATGAGGAACCACATTATACAAAGGGCCCTGGTTCCCTACTAAGAACCAGCAAGACTGAACACAAGATGACTGCAAGCTTTTGGCATCCCCTCCTCCATCTCTTCATCTCCAAGTGCAACTTCTTCCCCTCTGGCAGCGCTTGTGACACAGCATCAATATCGCAGCCGCAGTTGAACAAGGGCAAGTTATGGAATTTCAATGTGGCTTGCGCGCCTCCTGCTCCGCCTCCTCCTTTCCCTTTGCCCTTGGCCTTTCCCTTGCTGGAGCCTGACCCAAGATGCAGCAGGCTTTTGTGCAAACGGCATTTGTGCGCCAGACGCTGCCTGACGAAGTGGATGGTTGGGCTGTTGATGCCTGATTGGATCCCAGCGCATGGCTCTCAACATCAATTAAGCCCGATCCATCTTTTCCAGCCTCGCAGGCATCACAAACACCGTCCTGCCGACAGCGCCAGCGGTACTGAAAATGCGTGGTGCACCACCTGATAATCACAGCCAGCCAAGTCATTCCCCACACGTTTGCATCAGACTCTAGACTCTAGCAACAACGCGTTCATGGTGCGATTTTCTTGCAGCGTCTGGGCTAAGCGCACGCCATCGATCGCAGAGTCTGCGTTTCCAGAAATGCTGCCCCTGGGTGAAGTTCGGGATAAGTTTGGCTTCTGCTGAGTTGTAACGTAGCCGGCATCTACTCTATGAGCCGCTGCGAAACACCAACATTCACCCATGACCTCATTGCTCAACAAAGTCTCAGTTTCGGAGCCATCTTAGACGCGGCAGCAGCAGCGGCAGTTTTCGCTGCTGCCTTCATGGTGTGTCAGACATGTTGCAGGGAGCCCAAAAAAATGCGTTCTCAAACTCCTGAAGTCCTAAACATTCCTGACATGAATCTTTTTCAACTCCCTGAGCTTGCTTTGAAATCCACTGGCCTCGGAAACGGGACTTGCCAGTGACGATCTTCCTGCGTTGCCTGAGAGACAAGTCCCATGAACGTGGGCAAGGCAAGACTCCAATTGCTTCAGTAGTTTTCCACCTCACATCGACGACTGCTGTATGGTTGCTAGCATCATTGCTGCGTTTGTTCTTTCTCTTCCAGGACTCCGCCCTGTTGTG